GCACGCATACACATTGCAGCACATTTATTCCAAACTCACCGACTGGGCTGCATGTAATATCATATTGATTCGCACAATTGCAATCTTTTACTATCTGATTGCTCGCGGAAACCGCATCAAAAATTCTCATCGAAACATAGACTCTATCAAAGTGACCGGGGGGAGGGACACAATACCAAACTTTCTGCACATACTGTTTACCATCATAAAAAATATGCCTGTTATGAGAAAGAGACGTGTTGCAGGGGAGGGGGAGGCTGTTGTACAATTGGCCGTATCTGAGTAGCGGCGGTCTTTCCGTCTTGTCTGATCATCATCATTATTAGAATGAAAAACAAATCAGCCAGTAAACGTTGCCCGTGATCTCGAAAAACCATAACTCGCGTGTGCGAGCGAGCGAGACAGCTGTTTACCACTGATCAATTCGCCATTCGTCTGTTCGCTCTGGACCCATCCGTGAAACACAAATGCCTGATGCAAGGATACGCACTATTCTTTGAGGTGTATGCTAGTTCTTAAGAGAACCGGACAACTGTTCCGAGCAAAGCAACTACCCGATTTGGCCATCTGTCCACCGAGTGTGTCGGGCTGGTTCGATCAGTGCGTGACGTAGTCCAATCGGAGAATACAAAACAGGTTGTCTTTGCCTACCAACGGCCACGGGCGTCGGATACACTAACGACACATGGCAATAACAAGTTGCTGTGTGTGTGTGTGTGGGTGCAAAATCCCCGAACTAGGCCGGTACGAGTCGAATGAATCATTGATGAACAATGTGGGAAAGTGAATTCGAGCAGTTTATCGCGCGTCACCCGCCTGGGGCGCTCACACGTTTATTTCACTTACAGTTGAACATATGTCTTGTGCCAGCCGAAGAATAAAGCCTATTGATCATGATGGATCCCACGCTAGGCGGATTACGTACAGAGTTTCCGAATGTGATCTAAAGAAGCCTACTCACATCCACACCAGCAAGCCTTGGCCGTCTGTTCCCTTATGCTGGTACAGACCGAACCTTGACACATTTCAAACTGACAGGCATTTTCTCATAAGCATAAATGTGTGTACAAGATTGATTGAATTTTTTTAAAAGCATTTCTTACTCAGCCGTCCTCATCTTTATCTCTGACATTGGTTTGTTTGATTAGACTCCATGCGGCCTGTGTACAGATAGTGGGCTCTCGTAGTGGGTTATCCACCCCAACAAGTGCTGGGAGATACTATCCTCACCCCTGGCTGAAAATGCAATATGTGCTAAAAGATGGCATAGCTTGAGCGATGGGTGAATGTGATTCTGATTCAGCGGAACCAGAAGATTCAATACGCATTACTCACTGTCATGACAAAATATTGAAAAATCGGTTCTCGTAGCTCGGGTGAACTGAATTCCATTTCGCCTGTTTGCCGAGCAATTGGCAATTTGTTTGCAAACGTTTCACCACCAGCCTAGGTGACATCATCAGTGCTTGTGAAGTGACCACTTCACAGCTTTAAAATTCACGCAGCTGATGACTACTTTTTAGCCTAATCTTTTTTTATTATACACATTTTGTGTGTGATGAACAGCAGATGCGATGAACCCTATAATCGAGCAGACCTGCTCTTCTGTCATGGGAACCGGCAACCCAAGCCCCGAGACTTGGAGTAGCGAACCATATAAGACCAAGTTAGGCGTGGTATCGAACCGGACGACAGCAAAGCTGACTACCACCAAAGTTGGCTGGCAGTGGTGGGGTTCGAACCTCGAACCATGGGATCCAAAGCACACGGGTGATAGGAACTAAACGACTGCACCACCACCACCACCACCACCACCACCACCACCACCACCACCATCATCATCATCATCATCGGCTATGTCCAGGCACCACAGAGGACATTGCACACCTCCGTCACTTTTGTCAAGACTCATTAGGGGAGTGCACATGCATCGTTTCTAGCCCGTGCAGCTTAGTGCTCGTTCAGTTAGAGCCAATTACAACTCTGTGCTGACAACTGCTAACATGCGATTATGAGTCTTCCCGTATTGTGTATAGCGTGTTCCATATCGGGTGATATCGGGTGTATAAATTCCTAATCGTTCAGACTCAATTGGAGCAATTTCCAATTTCCTATCCAAATGCACTGCAGAAGCGCAATCCATGAGCAACAGAAATCTGCTCATTGTAATCTGGAACTCAAGAACAAGAGAACGCGAGAGAGGTAGAACAATCATCTCAATCTCTCGTTCGAATCTCATCTCAAATTAGGATCAGATCGTCGACTACGATTAGTAATAAGTAATTTTCGATCCTTGAATACAGTGCATCAATTTAGATGGTCATGATAGTGCTAACGAGTGCAAAAAATTTCCAAATACAGTAAATTAAAAAACTTCAAAAATACACTCAACTGTTGATTGTTGACACAATAGAGTATCCATGAGCCGGAAGCAACTGTCACCCGGTTCCCGGGTGTGACTTTACCCACCTCGGAGGCATTGTGATAGCAACGGCCATGGTAACGGGAGAGGAAAAAGCGCCACGAGGAAGAGACAAACTAAAACAAGCTACATACAATCCGGTGCATCATATTGCGAAGAATCAGTCTTAGGTCTTGTCGTCCAGATTACCATTCGATCAGTGGTCGTACACAGAGACCAGGTGGATGAATTAGTGGGTAAACACACACACACAATGAAGTTGAACAGGCTGAATGAAGGCATATTTTATTCCGGAGCAGATGAAGCAGCGAATACCAAATGTCAACGGTGAAACAACCGCTGCCTCGTTGCCCACCCACTCATTCATCCCGATCCGGGTCGATCAAACCGTTTAGTCGATGCATTTTTTGTTTGGTTACGAAATATGCACAGTGATCAATATGGTACCTTGGGGGTACCCACGGACTATTTTCAACACGAATTCCGAGACACAAAGTCTGTGAATTGTTCTTCTTCTATTGCAACTGATATTTGGCATTGAACTATGAATAGGCGACAGCCAAATGCTGCAGTAAAACAAGTGTCATATGAGTTTCTGCTGTTTATCTGGTAGTTTCAAGTCATAGAATAGACCAATAAAACAACGTGGGAAATGGTGTTCGCGAAGAAGACAGTTCTTTTCGATACTTTGCATCACGCAGTGACATACATATATAAGGACCCATAATACAGACATTTGATTGACCGACTTCAGACAGCTCGGTTTATCACGATGACAGAGGCAAGCAAACCGAGCAAGCGATTGACAAAGCTATCGTTAGTCAATGCTAGAGTCGTGAGCGCAGGGATGAGAGGACAAAGATCAAATCAAATAACGGTAGAGAGATGAGCTGATAATGAGTAGAGCTTCGAGCTAAGGCTAAGCATAAGATATGCTAGAAACTATACGTCCTGCATAGCAGGGAAGAACGAACAGTGGAGAGAGGTAAAAAAAACTGTATACTGACACTCTGTTGTACATACAATCAAACCGGTATCCAGGCCAGGGTAAACATAGTACCTGGGCTGCCTTGGTCGGTCTGTTTACTTCGGAATTGAAAATGTGAATTGCGATCGCCTCAGTCCCTGTGTATTTGTATTGAATCTTAAGTTCGTTATATATGAGCTTAAGGACAGATCAAAGGTACCTTCTTATTCTTTTAGCAAATTTTTGAGGTATAGTGTGAGTTCTCTTGAAAGTATTCGCCATGTCCGCCATTGATGAAATGACCAGGAACCGACCTAAGAATGCACATAACCGTTTCTTAGCATAAGGCCAAGGAGTAGTGCGTAGCAATTCGCTTTCATAATCGTCTGGTCGTATGTCCAATGTATCGCACACTACAAGTGCACGTGCAAAGATATAAACGAAGGATTTGGACTGGAATATTTAGGTCAGAATGAGACCAGAACTATTGATCCAATTCATGCATCGTTCACGGGATTGAATATGACATGGCCCCATACCAAGAATTACCACATCTGTAATAATATCCCTTTTTGATTCCACTAGCCAGATTTCATCCAAATATACGATTTATCGACTTTGCTGACGGTTGACAGTGCAGTTCAGTTCAGTTTGTAGAACCATTAACCACGCACAGTCGTTCGCCGGTTTTGGTTGCTGTCTTTTGGCTGCCCATTTGGATGAAGAATAGGAGAAGAACAGAAAGTTCAAAATGGAGACGAACAGAAAATGGAGACGTTCAGTGGTCTAAGGTTGCAAAAAAATTGAGAAGATGCACGAACGATACTGGTCGCGACACCCAGCCATATCACTCAGTGTCTGTAACCATCGGTTACGATCATCCCGAGGTCCCCAGTCAGGGAGCCTAACAG